AACTGGGTCTTTTATTGGTCTTTTATCTATGTCAGTTTGGCTCTTTCTTCTCATGGGTTATTAGAAATCTGATTTTCATCCTGGTCACATTGTGAAACCCCGTCTCTACAAAAATACAAAAAGTTAGCTGGGCACGGTGGCGCGTGCCTGTAATCCCAGCTACTCAGGAGGCTGAGGCCAGGAGAATTGCCTTAACCCAGGAGGCGGGAGGCTGCGGTGAGCCGAGATCGCGCCATTGCCTCAGCCTGGGTTAACAAGAGCGAAAATCAGGCTCAAAAAAAAAAAAAAAAGAAAGAAATCTGATTTTTAGTATCATATGATTGAGACATTTCTATGTATCTGAAGTTTACTGACTTATCGGTTGTGATCACGGGATGGGATGTACCTCTGTCTGATTTCTTTCCTTTGGAATTAGTTAAGATTTGTTTTATGGTCCCCAGAAATATAGGGCTCCTTAGGGTTGACTAAGCATGCCCGTGGGCTGGCAGCGCGTTATTGTCAATAAGGGTTTTTTCTGTTTGTTTGTTTGCTGAATACAGTCACATCTAATTATTTGTATATTCTTTATGGATGCTTTTATACTAAAACAGCAAAGTTGAGTAGTTTTACAAAGCCTAAAATATGACTATTTTTTTTTTCTCTAAGAAAAGTTTCCCATTCTTGCATCTTACCGAAAACTAAGCACATTTCAAAAGATGTGTGTACAGTCAGCCCTCTATATCTGCAGGTTACACATCCGTGGATACAACCAACTGACAACTGAAAAATCTTTTAAACACAACGTGAAAATAAAAAACGGCAATACATAAGAAAAGTAATCATACAAATAAAAAATACGGCATAACCGTACTCACACAGCATTTGCATCGTATTACGTATGGTAAGTCGTCTAGAGATGATTTAAGTACACGGGATATGTGCATAGGGATATGCAATACTATATCATTTTAGATAAGGCCTGAGATTCCGAGGATCTTGCTATTCACGGGAGTCCTGGAACCAGTCCCGGAAGATACTGAAGGAACACGCTTTTCTTTTCATCGGTGGGTATTCTGTAACTATCAGTTACCACAACTTGGTTCCAGTGTTGTTTAATTTTCTACATCTTTATTGACTTATGGCTTTGTTTCATGAATTCTGGAAGAGCAGGTTAAAATATCCAACTATGATGTGGGGCTGCTATGTATTCTTTAATTTTGTCAGTTTTAGATTAATACCTTATGATTTTGAAATAATGCGATTTGTTTTTGTATCACTCTGTCTTTAAAATGGAGATTCCAAAAGTTGTGGGGAAAAAAGAGAAAAAGAGCACAGACTATGCACTTAATAAATGGTCGTAATTCTTTGGCCACTAAGCAGGCAAAGTGCTAGGTGCAAGCTAGTCAGAGCTTGGAATTCCGAGGTCTGCGCATGCGTGTGGGGAAAAGAATCTTGTCTTATTTCACCCACTAACTTAAATGATCATGTCTTAAAAACGATGAGCCTGGGCATGGAACTTCACTGATACGAGTACTAACTGTGGACGTTGTCCACCAGTAAAAATTTTGGTATCACATTACACTTCTTCCCATTTGTTCTCAAAGTATCACTTATGCCCAGCACTATTTGAACTATGGGGAGTATTATAACCCACCTTGTGATAGTTATTTAAGGTTTATTTAAAAACACCATCTCATATGCACAATGTCTTTCTAAAAATACAAGATGGCATCTCCATACAATCATTTTTATAATCCGTGTATTTAGTTATATATATTTACGTTTTAAAAATATTGTTGTCTTAGGGGATGCAAGGCTGTACCCAGGATACCAAAGGGATCCAAGGCCCAAAAGCCTGAGGATCCCTATTGTGATGGATCCCTACTGTGATGGTTAATGGTAGGTGTCAACTTGACTGGATTGAATTGAAGGATGCCTAGAAACTGATAAACTATTGTTTTTGGGTGCGTCTGTGAAGGTGTTGCCGGGGGAGATTGCGTTTGAGTCCGTGGACTGGGAGATGAAGACCCTCCTCAATGTGGGTGGGTACCATCCAAGCGGCTCCCAGCACGGGTAAGGCAAGGCAGAGAAGTAGGTGGGGCAAGCTGGTGTACCGAGGTCTCTGGCTTTCATCCTTCTACCGTGCTGGATGCTTCCTTCTGTCCTCCCTGCCCTTGGACATCAGACTCCAGGTTCTTTGGCCTTTGGCGTATGGGACTAACAAAAGTGGTTTGCAGGAGGCTCTCGGGCCTGGGCCACAGACTGATGGCTACACTGTTGGCTTCCCTAGCTTGAGGCTTCTGGACTTAGACGCGTCACTACTGGCTGCTTTCTTCCCAAGCTTGCAGACAGCCTATGATGGGATTTTGCCTTGTGATCATAGGAGATAATTCTCCCTGATAAACTCCTTTTCATAAGAGAAATGTGCGTGTGTGTGTGTGTGTGTGTGTGTGTGTGTGTGTGTGTATGTAGGATACATATATTGCTAGTAGTTCTGTCCCCATGGAGAACCCAACTAAAACACCTACCTAGGGGTGTTTGAAATGCGTCCAAGGGCAAAGGGAAGGCAATGGCTGACAGGTCGATGTTTCACATGTGTAATCTCATGTGAACAGGCAGTACAGGGCTTCTGTGGTTGAAGTGTGGAGCCTCAAAAAACGAAGTGAAGCTGAGGTGGGACCTACTCGGGGGGGGGGGTTGGAGTAAGCTGGGCAGTCTACATTTTAACCAAGAGACCACAGGGAGGTCCCATGGATCGTGGGCAGGAGAGGGCACCCTCCAGTGGTGTCTGAGCTGTGCTTCAGAAGGCCGGAGGCAGACGGCTATGAGATGGGGCACAGGAAGAAAAGGCACAGAAGAGGGGATCCAACCAGTGAGAGGGGAGGGGACAGGAGGTATGGCAGACAAATGTGGTCCCAAAGGAATGGAAACCATTCCACGGCACCGTCCCCAGGCAGGGGGGGTAATGGCTGCAAGTCTGTACTTTGGATGCTGGCTCTGAGAAGCGAGGTCATGAGGGAAAGAGGCACAGGTTGGGAGAAAAGAAGGAGTGTGGGCTTCAGGATGCCCTAGTTTCAGGTAATGAGTGAGCCACCAGGAGAGAGCTCAGAGGCAGGCCTTTTCCCAATCGCTATTTCCTACACCACCCATCCCAAAGGACCCCCTCCATAAAGACACACGCCACACACACACACACCCACAACACACACATCACACACACAGCGGAGGAGAGGTGAGAGAGAGAGAGGAGATGAGAGAGAGAGACCCACACACCTGCCGCAGCTACAATCTTTAAGAGACGCCTTCATAACACAGTCCTGGGAAACCAGCTCCATCAAACATGGCTCCTGCTACCAAGGTCAGAGGTGCCTTGACCTGGGCTTCTTTGCACATTATCCCACAGCAGTGCTTCTCAAAGTGCCTTCTCCATAGCAGCAGCATTCGCATCAGCTGGTACAGCATTAGAAATCTAAATTGTTGGGCCTCACCCAACCCACTGGACTGGGAACTCTGGGAGTGGCGTCTAGCAGTCTGTTGTGTTAAGTCCACCAGAAGGTTAGATGCAGCTTCATTTTGGAGGAACCGGTGAACTCCAGAAAGGCCTAAACCATGCAGATGCATTCATTTTCATGTTGACAGAAGTGACCCATCACGCTGTTCTGAGGTTTTCCTACAGGAAAATTGTCAATGAAGAAATCTTTTGTTTGGTCACAATAGCGTGTGGGCTGACTTAAAGGCGCGTCTAGCTCAATAACAACTGTTTTCTGAAACTTTTTTGAAGCACTGTAACAATCCCAAATGTTAAGTTGTTGATTACAAGTGGTTTTTTAGGCCTTTGTTAACTAAAATTAATCTCCACAGCACATTCCTATGCATTTCCTGATGTGGACCTCAAGCAGGGACTCTGACTTGCTTTTGTGCCCAGTTCTGTTTGGCTGTGTATTCACAGTGCCTGGTGCAGCAGTAGGTGTTCTTTACACATCTGCTGAATCAATGAACCTGGGTAGGGCTGGCATTCTCATGATTCTGATTTTGCACAGGAGAAAGCGAAGGCTCAGAAGACAGAAGCGTTTATAAATTGTGCCCTGCCTCCCAGCCTGCATAAAGGGTGCAAGCCTGTCTCAGAGCAGCTGGGATCCAAGCCACAGGTGGCACAGCTAGCAAATGACTGACTCGGCATTTCCTTCTAGGTCTGCTAACCCAGAGAGGAGCAACTCTTCGGTTAGCTGTGGCTGAGAAAAAGCCTTTCCCTAGGGGACAAAAAACTCGTCTTCCTGTACAAGCCAGTCTATAATTTTAAAGCACTTTCCCTCCAGGTGCTTGTATGTGACTGAGATATGGTCGAATCTAAACCAAGTCACAAAGTCACTGATATATATTATGGGGAGGTTTCCACTAGATTCCATTGCCATGTTAAGAGAGCTGAATCCTAATAGTGATATTTTGAGGGGAGGTGTGTGACTGTCTCAGAGAGATTAAGTGTAGCATTAAACATTCTCTGTAATAATCCGTAATTTCCTTCGGATGGACAGCAAGGGCAACAAGCCTTGGAGATAGCTTTCTTGTGGATTGTTGCCTTAGATGTGAATCTGTCAAAGAAAAGGAAAAGTCTCCTGCTTATGAACTTGAGGACACAAACAGTTACATCTTGTCTAGGAGGGATCATCCTGTGAACTGAGCTATAACTTTGAGAGAGCTTTGAAAGAGAGGCATTCTCTTCTCTACTCTGCATCAGAAGTTTTTCTCTATGCTGATTTTTAGGTAGGGACTGAAAAACGAGGTGTGAAGTATAAAGCTTGCCATAAAGATCTTTTACTCGATGCATACTATGATTTAGTGTTTCCATTGGGTTAGGATTATTTCGTTTAAAAAAAAAATGGACACAACTAACGCTCAGAGAAGTTAAGTGTCTTATCCCAGGTCACACAGCCAGAACGTGCCTGGGCTCAGGTCTCTCTGAGCCTGAGCCCTTGCTTATGCTTCCTCCCCTGCACATTCTGGGACAGTAGATAGATAGATAGATAGATAGATAGATAGATAGACAGACAGATAGATAGATCTCCCCTTAACTCACAGAGACCAGAGTCTGACAGGATTCTGAGGGATTCCTGCCAGAGAGCTGCCATCTCTGGAAGCCCCCACCCCCACCCGGGTGAATCTTTTTGCTGTGGAGTGCGGGCCTGGAGCTAGGTGAGGCCTGAGCCTCCATTTCAGGGGCTTTCTGTAGAATCTGTTGCTGCTGTTGCCTTCAGTAGATTCTGTTTCAGGAAGAGGTTTGCCTGCCTGCGCGGGACAGCGGTGCCATTCATCACTGCAGGAGGGCAGAATCCGGGGCTGGGGGCCGCACGTCGAGAGGGGAGGGGCCAGGGGGCGGCCCCCTTGTGACCAGCCCTGAGGAGAGGTCAGGAGAGAAGGCTGGCTGAGGAGCGCCTGGACAGCAGCAGTTGCTGACGTTCTATATCACGCGCCTGGGGCTCAAGGTAACCCAGACCTTTAAACAAATCGCCGGGCTGGGGGCGTTGCGGGGCAGGAGTGGGAAAAGAGAGCGGGGATTTTGGGGGTTGCAGGAGGATGGTGGTGGTCATAGGGGTGGCAAATGCCTGAAAGAAGGGAGTAGTGATCCAAATTCTAGGATAAATCATAGGAATTTAAGTCTCAGAAGCAAGAAAAGGGGTGTGAGAGGACAGGCGCGAAAAGGCTTGAGAGGGCGCAAGAGCCGGGCGGACCGAAAGTGTGCTGAGGGGCAACGGCTTAGGGTGGAACACACCAGGCCACAGAAGTATAGGTAAGTTAGGAGCAGTGGGACACTGTCTTCCACTGAGTTCATTTTCCAAAGGTGCCTCCTTGCAGCCATTTTTGAGATAAAATGTTGACCCAAGTGTTTTTTAGGATACAGGGAAAGAACGTCAGAGGAAGCTGCACCAAAGCGAGGCTGCGCAGGGCGCAAAAAAGCAGTCAGAGGGTGGCGCCTTTTTTAAAGAAGTTTCCATCCTTTCCATCCTAAAGCTGAGACCGTTCCCCACCCCCACCGTCCGCTAGCCTTCTGTTCCCAGTCCCCTGGCCCCCGCATGATCTGATCGCCTTAAAGCAGGTAACCCTGGGTCTCCACATCAGTTCCAGGGGCCTCTCAGTTGAGTGGGTGGAGCCGGCAGCAGCCGCCGGGTGAGCTCAAGGGCCGATGGGAGGGGTCCTAGGGGCGCTAACTGCGCACCGCGGCCATGACGCTGGGCAGATCATTCACTGAAGTCTCTGTCTCGTTCCATCTACAGTCGCAGCTCGTTTCCAGACGCCTTGCTCCTCAGGTCGGGCAGTGATCCGATGGCCCAGGTTCGAGAAACTTCTTTGCCCTCCGGCTCTGGGGCTCGCTGGAGCTCGGGAGGTGGGGGAGGAGCCTCGCCTGAGGAGGCGGTTGAGAAGGCGGGGAAAATGGAGGAGGAGGCGGCGGGGGCGACGAAGGCGTCTTGGGGCCAGGAAGCTGAGGAGATGAAGCTGGAGCCATTACAGGAGCGTAAGCCTGCACCGGAGGAGAACTTGACGTGGAGCAGCAGCGGCGGCGACGAGAAGGTGCTCCCTTCTATCCCCCCTCGCTGTCACAGCAGCTCCTCGCCCGTTTGCCCGCGCCGCAAGCCCCGCCCTCGGCCCCAGCCCCGGGCCCGTTCCCGCTGCCTGCCCGGGCTCTCGGCCCCACCCCCGCCTCCGGCCCGGCCCCCGCTCCCGCCGCCACCCCCGCCCCCACCCGCACCGCGGCCCCGGGCCTGGCGTGGATCCCGGCGCAGAACCCGGCCTGGTTCCAGGCCTCAGACACGGAGAAGCTGCTCTGGTTACCTAGACGGCTCGAGGGATCCTGGCGGTTTAGGGGACTGGTTACTGGAGGTCGAGTTTGGGCAGGGTCCCACAGGCTGCTCTCATGTGGAGAGCTTTAAAGTAGGTAAGAACTGGCAGAAGAACCTGAGGTTGATCTATCAGCGTTTCGTTTGGAGTGGGACCCCAGAGACTAGGAAACGTAAAGCAAAGTCATGCATCTGTCATGTATGTAGTACCCATATGAACAGACTCCACTCTTGTCTCTCCTGTGTCTTTTTCGGCTGCTTCACTGAGAAACATATTCACAGACATGCCGAAACAAAACAGCACCACTTAGCTGTAGATCTTTATCATGGGGTTATATATTGCTTCATGTGTAAGGATTATGTATATGACAAAGACATAGAACAGATTGCCAAAGAAACAAAAGAAAAAATTTTGAGATTCTTAACTTCCACCTCAACAGACGTTTCTCATCAACAGTTTATGACATCAGGGATAGAAGACAAGCAAGCAATCTGTGAGACAAAGGAACAGGAACCAAAATTGGTGAAACCCAAAAAAAAGAGAAGAAAAAAGTCAGTCTATACTGTAGGCCTGAGAGGGCTAATCAATCTTGGGAACACTTGTTTTATGAATTGTATTGTCCAGGCACTTACCCATATTCCTCTACTGAAAGATTTTTTCCTCTCTGACAAGCACAAATGTATAATGACAAGCCCCAGCTTGTGTCTGGTCTGTGAAATGTCTTCGCTTTTTCATGCTATGTACTCTGGGAGCCGAACTCCTCACATTCCCTATAAGTTACTGCATCTGATATGGATTCATGCAGAACATTTAGCAGGGTACAGGCAGCAGGATGCCCATGAGTTCCTTATTGCTATATTAGATGTGTTACATAGACACAGCAAAGATGATAGTGGTGGGCAGGAGACCAATAACCCCAACTGCTGTAATTGCATCATAGACCAAATCTTTACAGGTGGCCTGCAGTCAGATGTCACATGTCAAACCTGCCATAGTGTTTCCACCACCATAGACCCATGCTGGGATATCAGTTTGGACTTGCCTGGCTCTTGTGCCACATTTGATTCCCAGAACCCGGAGAGGGCTGATAGCACAGTGAGCAGGGATGACCACATACCAGGAATCCCCTCACTTACAGACTGCCTACAGTGGTTTACAAGGCCAGAGCATCTAGGAAGCAGTGCCAAAATCAAATGCAATAGTTGCCAAAGCTACCAGGAGTCTACTAAACAGCTCACAATGAAAAAATTACCCATTGTGGCTTGTTTTCATCTCAAGCGGTTTGAACATGTAGGCAAACAGAGGCGAAAGATTAATACCTTTATCTCCTTTCCCTTGGAGCTTGATATGACTCCATTTTTGGCCTCTACTAAAGAGAGCAGAATGAAAGAAGGCCAGCCACCAACAGATTGTGTGCCCAATGAGAATAAGTATTCCTTGTTTGCAGTGATTAATCACCATGGAACTTTGGAAAGTGGCCACTATACCAGCTTTATCCGGCAACAAAAGGACCAGTGGTTCAGCTGTGATGATGCCATCATCACCAAGGCTACCATTGAGGACTTACTCTACAGTGAAGGGTATTTACTGTTCTATCACAAACAGGGCCTAGAGAAAGACTAGTTTTACCAGACCACTTACTGAAAAAAAAGTAAATGATTAGGCAAGTATTTGAAGTGACACACAAACCTACTTGGAATGGACAACGATAATAACACCTTTATGACAGGTAGTATCTTGATGTAAAGAACCTGTTTTAGCATGGCTCATGGGTATGTAGGAAGGAAAAAATGAATACTAACCAGTGACCTTTCAACCTTCAGAAATGAGGAGAGGGAGAAGAGGTTGAAAATGGTCTCATAAAGCATAATCAAATGAAAAGAATGCCTTAGGTGGGGAGAAAAGGAGTAGAGGTGTTCTGATGCTACTATATGTCATTTGTTTCTACAGAAATACCATGTGAAGTCAAAGTATTCCTTTATCAGCAAAAACTTCACAATTGGTGTTCCAGCTGTGGCTGGCCAGCCAAATAGTTTGAAAGAAAAATACTATTTTAAAATAAAATTTAAAAAGCTTTAAAAGAAAAACATTTAAAAAGGAAAAAAAATCATTTATAAAGTTTGAAAAAATTTTTAAATGTTGAAAAAATTTGAGTTGATATTTTTAAAAAATATTTTAAAAATTAAAAATAATTTTTTAATTTAAAGAAGTTTCAGAATTTTAAAAATTAAAAGCAAATGAAATTAAGAAATTCTTAAAGTTTAAAAATGTAAAATAGATTAAACAAGGAACAAGGTTAAAAATAAAAGTTTACCAAAAAATGAAAAAAATACTGTTAAAAATTAACGAGAAAAAAGGAACATCTTAAAACTTAAAAGTTTCAAATGAAGGAAAATAATATAAATAGATATGTCAAAATTAAAGCATAAAATATGCATATTTAAAAAGTTAACAAAATTATTACTGTAATGATTAAGAAATAAATTTTCAAAAATACAGAATGGAATGCAATTCAAATTTTAGAGAAAAGTTTAAAGGAGGAAAGTTTAAAATAATTCGAGACAAAAAGACAAAATTTGTTTAAAGACAAAAATTGAAAAAAAGTAGGAAGAAAATGCTTGTGAAATAAGAACTTTACATAAGTTCAATTCAGGAGATTTAAATGAAAATTTAAAATATTTAATTAAAGATTCTAAAATATAAACTTAAAACAGTTACATAAAAATTGACAAATGAAAAAATGTAAAACAAGTAGAAAAATATTAAAATGAAAAGTTTAAAAGGTTCTATTTTTTTATTTAAGCATATTAAAATACAGACGGGTATGAAAGAAATAAATGGAGGAGACAGGAATAATAAGACGGGGTATGTCAGCATATATATTTTTGAGCTTTATGTTGATATATCAATATAATTTGCAAAAGGAAATAGACATTTTAATCATTATCTTACCATTATTTTGTGAGATGGCTGCAAGGCCTAAACACTAACCCACCTTCCCCTCTGAGATTCTTTTTTTTTGAGACAGAGTTTTGCTCTTGTTACCCAGGCTGGAGTGCAATGGTGCGATCTCGGCTCACCGCAACCTCCGCCTCCTGGGTTCAGGCAATTCTCCTGCCTCAGCCTCCTGAGTAGCTGGGATTACAGGCACACGCCACCATGCCCAGCTAATTTTTTGTATTTTTAGTAGAGACGGGGTTTCACCATGTTGACCAGCATGGTCTCGATCTCTTGACCTCGTGATCCACCCGCCTCGGCCTCCCAAAGTGCTGGGATTACAGGCTTGAGCCACCGCGCCCGGCCCCCCTCAGAGATTCTATGCCCCATCTCATATCCTGAAGGAAGTTAAATTACTTCCTAGGCATAATCAATTCATCTGAGAAAAATGAAAACATTAGGGACTTTCACATTTAGAACTGCATTATTCATACAAATTCTTAGCTTCTGAAAAGGGGTTCTTGATAATTTGGTGTCTTAGAGAAATTAGCTCACAGCTGTGAAGCTCTGGCTTTTGTATTTGAGCCCCATGGCCTGATTGAGGAAGTGGCAGGGACCCATATCTGAGGCCCTCCCTCCCACCCTCCTTTTTAGCCTTTAATTTCCGTAGTAGAGTTATGGGTTTGTGCTTGGAGTCCTTCTGCTCATTCGTTATTCCTTCTTTATTTCCTTTTTTCGTCACTCATGCCTAGTTTCCTGAACCCCTCACTTACCTGGCCTTACCTACATCTCTGAGCCCTAGCCTGTAGGGCTCCTTCTTTGACTATTTACCTGGTGGCTTTTACTCTTCCTTCAAGACCTGGCTCACAGATGACTTTTCTGGAGCCCTCCCTGAATGTTCTAGGAAGGTATAAATGGGAAAATTGTTCCTTCCTCCCCCTCTTTATTCCTCTCACTGTGCCTCCAAAGTACTTTGTCCATACCTCAGTGATAGTACTTATTCTACTGTGATTTTATTGTAGCTTTGTGATTGTCTGCCCCTCTGCACTGAGCGTCCTGAGAACAGGGGGCTAAGCCTTATTCATTTCTGTGTTAATAAATATTTGTTGAGTGTGAAGGTGAGTTCATTTATTTGCTCTATTCATTGTCGGTAATGTTTTCTCACCCCTTCATCCATCAGGCTGCCATTAAATGCCCAGCGCTATAATACAGTGTGATCAGTATTGTATTTTATCCCAAAGCAGGGTATGAATAGCACCTTAAGAAAGGTGCTCAGTGAGAAATAGCCAGGTGTGTGGAGGAAGGCCCAGCTACAATGCAGAGAAACAAGCACAGGCCTGGAAGTTGGCAGTCATGGAAGACTGGGTGGGGAGGAGGAGCAGCAGCTGAAGGTGAGGCTGAGCTCTCTGGTGTGTGTGGCCACACTGCCCCTCAGCAGCAGTGTCTCTCACAACTGTGTACCACACATCTCTAGAGTATACCACATTAGTTCACCTTCCCCATCAGACAGTAGTACCTCACCACTACACATTGTTCTAGATCACACTGCACATCATCACCCTGCTACAAGGGAGTGATGTCTGGTGACTGTTTATCGAAGAGCTGTAGTTTATTTTTCTGCTTAGCACCCTCATTTACCCACCATTCTTTGTGGTCCTATTGAGGCTGTTGATCACTTTTCCCTGCCTCTGTTACCCCTCCCCAGAGTGAGCACATCACTCAGCCTGGGCCAGATTAGAGTTCTGAATTCCCCCATCCCTCTACCAATACCCCTCCCACAAGAGCATTTCTTCTGAGGGTAGGCATAGGGTCCAAGTAGGGCCAATCAGAGTCTATTGCTAAATTGAATTTATATGGACACTGGAAGAAAAAATGTGTCTCCCTCCCAACCCCACCCCTAAACTGGAGTCATTATGCTAGTATGACCTGAATCTGGGACTCTGAGAGGTCAATATCTATAACACAAAGAGAAAACCATAAAGAACTGGAGATTGGGAGAAAGCCCAGGGAACGCCATTTGAACCTTGTGGATCCAGCTGTGCCAGAAGTGCCAAAGTTCCCAGCTCTCTGAGCCAGTAGAGTCCTTTGTTTTGCTCAAGCTAGTTTCAGTTGGGCATTCAGTCATTTGCAGCCAAGGGTCTTGAACATATTAACCAAGCTATATGATTAGTGGAGCATCAGTTCCTAAGACCACAAAGCATGAGAGAGAAAAGGGAGGGAGGAGTGACCTTAGATGAACTCTGTCATATAAAATTGAGAAACTATAGTGGGTGCCTGCACATCTTTAAGAAGCAAGTATCAGCTCAGCCACTGACCTGTGCTAGACATCAAACCTTACTCACAGCAATGATGTGCTTATTTCAAATAAAAGGGATAAAAAGTCAATGACATTATATGAGTACTGGTTTAAGTCAGGTACTGTGTTAACTGCTTTACCTTTATTATCTCACTGGGTCCTGTGTCCTCATAGTTCTAGGAGACAATCATTACTGAACATATTTCATAAACTGGAAAGTAAAATAGAAATAGAAAAGTCATTTGCTTAAGTTCACTCTACTGTTCTAAGCACTGAAGCCAGTATTCAAATGCAGGTCCCCAAAGCCCAGGCATGTCCCATCATAATCCAGTATAGATAATTCAAATATATATGTATATTTTTTGCTTTTCCTGATACTGCTATGGAAGACAGCATAAACCACCATGGTAGAGAAAGCAGCTTCTGACAAATCTGGATGCAGGTAACCTGCAAAGAGAGAGTAATCTATTGACTACATAAAGTTGCCCATGCTACAGGTGGATTTGTCTCTGTGGAAATGGCTGATTAAGACAGATCAGGCTAAATGAATTTGCTAAGGATAATCAGCATGGATGAGGCCAAAATATTATCCCCAATATAAGACATATCACCTCACTCAATGCTATATGCTAGGCTGAGCACCAAAACCTGACTATAAGGTCTCAACTCATTGCTGTCTTTAAAACCATTAGCTCTTTAGTCACACAAGACTTCTTTTTTAACGTCAACACCATACCCATCACTTTGAGTGTCACTTTTATTACCCCTCTCCCTTAGATCCTCCCCAAATGCCCACAATACCAGCTCCTCCAACAAGCCCAGGGAGGGACTTACCTATTGGGACCTTACCCAGGTAGTCCAATATTGATTTGCAATGTCCAGCTTCTGTTGCTTCTGAACTGCTTTCAGTTCCTTTACCTTGATTCTCCTCCAAACACACAGTAGTGGCTATTCCAGACCAGGGCCGGACCTCTGTGTTTATAAATCCCACAAGCCTACCACAGTTTATGGTAGGTACTTAACATGCTGGCTGAATGAAAATATGAATGAATAAATGAAGAAATTCCATTCTACACCCTAAGCGTCAGCTTCAGCAGGTGACTTCATGTCCTATTTTTCTAAAATCAAAACTGTCTAAGAATGCCTGATTTACCCACATCTACATACTTACGTTTCCATCCATCGTCCATGCATTCACTGTCATTTCAAAGGAAAAGGAATGCTGCTTCTTTTCTGAAGCTGCACCCACTATCTTCTTTCTTCTAATCCATTCCTAACAGCCAGAGGGCCTTACTCCTACACACTTTCCTCTATTCCACTAACAGCCATATTTTCGCTAGACAGATAAAATTCAGCAACTAGACATGCTAGATTTTCTATAATAGTTTCTTAAAAATTTTGTTACATCATCACTATAAGAGATTTTTTTAAAAGTCTCCCAAATCCCAGTACTTCTCCCGAGTATATATTATCCCCAGAAGAAACCCAAGAGTCTGTTTTAAAATCCTGATTTGCGTGTTATGTTTAAAAAAGAAAAATACATAACCTTTGCTCCCCTTCCTTTCACTGCCAAAATCTTTGACATGTGTTTTTTTCATACATCGTCTTCACTTATCTCCTACTCCATCTTTAGTTCCCTGAATTCTGGTTTCTGCTTGCACTACTCTGTTGAAACTGCCTTTGCTAAGTTAAAATGACTTATTTGTTTCAAAATTCCGTATCTTACTACTTTTTGCCATTTATTAAAGAGATACATGACATTTGTAGATAACAGAACAAAAGACAGAATATTTGAAATTAAAGCTTTTCTCAAAAAATCCAGATCATAATGTTGCCATGTTGGCTTCCATTTAGGAGCAGTTTCCTCTTCCCTTATACTAGGAGGGTATGCCAAATCTGAGAAAGGGACGGTGGCTATAGGTGGAGCATGTGAAGTTGAGGAAGGGATTGCATGGAAAATCAAATTTAAAATACTGTATCATGTTTTAAATGTATCAGAGAAGTTGGTCTCTAAGGACAGGTGTACAAAATCCTTTCTGCATGCAAACGAGGCCTTATTCAGAATCTAACCATGCCCTAAATTATCTGTTTTTAGAAGAGTCTCCTTGAAGACACACCTGTTTTCTATATGCAGAATTATCATTTGAACCCTCTTTCTCACAACCCTTTAATAGAGAATTAAACTTGTCTATCTACTTCTTTATGATGAGGTACCTGTGGTGAGAACTATGTAGGCAGAAGATGACTGAGGCAACAGAAAGACTTGAGCTGAAATCACGTCATACACTTGCCGTTTACTAACAGGCAACACTGGGCCAGTAACAGAATCTTGTGCATAGCCCTCCCAGAATTGTAGAGGAGACTAAAACTAACCATCTTTTTAAGGCATTTAATAGATAGCAAAATGCTTGCTATATACACATGGTTGAAGCTAAAAAGGAAAAATAGTCATACTTCTTGCCCCACTAGTGTCCAAATACTCTCTTTGACTCACACATGTCCATAGTAGATTACAAGTGCTGGCTCTCAGGAAACACATTTTCCAGCACATTAAAGGGGGTTGTTACCTAAGCAGACTTCTGCTGTAAATCCTCCACAAGCAGGGCTCTCCTGACCTCACTGAGTTGTTCTCCTCCTGTGCTACAGGCACCCCAATGGGGTGTGTCTTACTGTTGGCTATACTTGATAAAAAATATGAGACTCAGAGAATTTGAATATCATTTCAAAAATTAAGAGTTATTAAGACAGAGAGCTGGGTCTTAAAAACACTGGATCTTAACCACCAGGCTATGCTGTATCCACAGAAGCTGAATCTGCCTTGGTCTAGACCAACCTCTAAGGGTGTATCCTCCACCCTGGTTTTACTCTCCCATATACGGAGGTAAAGTGCTGCCTCCTCCAGAAAGCCTTCTCATATCTCAAATCAAGAGAGAAGGGACACACAAGCAGAGCAGCACTACCAAGTCAGGATCCACAGATTATAAAAGGGGTCATGTCACTCAGGTTACACTGCAGCCACAGCATCTAAAGTGTTTTTCCTTCCCTGGGGAGGGGCATTTTCTCAGCCACAGCTAACCGAAGAGTTGCTCCTCTCTGGGTTAGCAGACCTAGAAGGAAATGCCGAGTCAGTCATTTGCTAGCTGTGCCACCTGTGGCTTGGATCCCAGCTGCTCTGAGACAGGCTTGCACCCTTTATGCAGGCTGGGAGGCAGGGCACAATTTATAACGCTTCTGTCTTCTGAGCCTTCGCTTTCCTCCTGTGCAAAATCAGAATCATGAGAATGCCAGCCCTACCCAGGTTCATTGATTCAGCAGATGTGTAAAGAACACCTACTGCTGCACCAGGCACTGTGAATACACAGCCAAACAGAACTGGGCACAAAAGCAAGTCAGAGTCCCTGCTTGAGGTCCACATCAGGAAATGCATAGGAATGTGCTGTGGAGATTAATTTTAGTTAACAAAGGCCTAAAAACCACTTGTAATCAACAACTTAACATTTGGGATTGTTACAGTGCTTCAAAAAAGTTTCAGAAAACAGTTGTTATTGAGCTAGACGCGCCTTTAAGTCAGCCCACACGCTATTGTGACCAAACAAAAGATTTCTTCATTGACAATTTTCCTGTAGGAAAACCTCAGAACAGCGTGATGGGTCACTTCTGTCAACATGAAAATGAATGCATCTGCATGGTTTAGGCCTTTCTGGAGTTCACCGGTTCCTCCAAAATGAAGCTGCATCTAACCTTCTGGTGGACTTAACACAACAGACTGCTAGACGCCACTCCCAGAGTTCCCAGTCCAGTGGGTTGGGTGAGGCCCAACA